TTATTCCAGAAACATGGACATTTGAGAGTTGAAATTTACACAGATGCGGATTGGGTTGGATCTCAAAGTGACAGAAGGTCTACTAGTGGTTACTGCACCTTTGTAGGAGGGAACCTTGTTACTTGGAAGAGTAAGAAGCAAACCGTGGTAGCTAGATCCAGTGCTGAAGCTGAGTACTGTGCAATGGCACACGGAGTAGCYGAAGGTATGTGGATAAAGAATCTATTGGGAGAGTTAGGTTTTCCAGTAGGTAAACCCATGACTCTACTCTGTGACAACAAGGCAGCTATAAGTATCGCTGCCAACCCGGTACTACACGATAGAACAAAGCACATTGAAGTTGACAAGCACTTTATCAGATAGAAAATCATCACAGGCGAAGTATGCACTCCATACAWCAGCTCTGAAGACCAACTAGCAGACATCTTTACAAAAGGGCTAAACCATTCTAGACACCAAGGTCTCTGTGACAAGTTGGGCATGATTGATATCTGCCCCAACTTGAGGGGGAGTGTTGATAGGTGTATTATATGTACTGTACATAGGTTTAGTGCCATAGGGGTATTTTTGTAATTTTGTAGACCTATTGTGTTATACGGCCAGTATAGTATAAATACAATGCTTCACTCGACTAAAGCTGTTTTTTTTGAGGCCTTAACTCAGTAGCCTCCTCTTCTTCTACTTCTTCCTTCTTTCCTTTCTTCTTCTCCTTCTCCTACTCAACAAAGGGGAATATCCTCTGGCTGTAGAGTAACCAACTCTGAGTGTAACTAACTCTGGGGCTTTGTCGCATGTCCTTTCTGTCTCCTTGTGAACTGCTAATGGGTGGTGGTCTGCTCCACTCCCATAGTTGGGTTCGGGTGGAGTGTTTGGGTCCCAACAGAAACTCTCTAGTCGACTAGGGTTTTGGGGAAAAATAATCTGCAGTCCCACTTTCTTGTTAATCTTTGGCCAAATTCAAACTCTCCAAACCCTCTACCAACTAGGCAAACAAGATCTCTAAATGATCAGCAATTTATCTCTCCATACACCTTTCGATTAGAAAAAAAAAAGTGTGTGGGAAAAAAAGGAAAAAAGAGAAAGGCAAAAGGGAGACTTGCTTTGATACGAAGATGTGATTCAAACCAATAAAATTAGCAGAATAATTTGGATTAAAGCAAATGAAAGTAAGGAAGAAGAAGAAGGAAGGTTGGAGAAGAAAGGAGAAAGAAATGAGCAGTTCGATAATCTCTACTTTTCCCCCAATAATCTTTTATTAAACTTACTTAAGTTACATAATTTACAAGGCTTCCCTTAAGTAGGCATCCACATCAGCACTATACTTAGAAAACATAAACAAGAGCTAAAGGCCCATAAAGAAAAGGCCCAATAGGAAAACAGAACAAGAAAGAACTAATAAGAAAGACACTAATGGGCTAAGGCCCATTTGGCCCAGTCTCTCTACAGTTTCTAAGTGGTTGATCTCTTGCCAAAGAGTTTTCAGTGTGGAGAAATACGTGGCAAGAGGTCTATCTCCCTGTTTTGTACTAATCACCTGATTCCTTAACTGATAGGCTCTAGCTACATTTTGTTTATGGGAATAGGTTTCAGTTACTCCATCCCAAATCTCCTTTGTAGTGTTAGCCCACAAGAAATTTTTACCAATATGAGGTAACATAGAGTTACACAGTCAACCATCACCATGTAATTCTCCTGTACCCACTAGGAGGGATCTGTATCAAGTTTCTTCTCCTCCCCAGTGATGTACCCTAGTTTCCCATGAGCACCAATGGCCATGTTATCTGATTGTGCCCATTCTAGGTAATTTGTACCATCAAATTCCATACCCAAAAATATCACTACTACATCCAACACCCAGACCCATGTTACCAGTAGATTTCTGCCCAGTACTCCAACTCTCCATTTTACTTCAAACAGTTCAAAGGCAGGAAATAATTAGGTAGAGAACCTCCAAGATCAAATCGATCTCACACACAAAGGTAGCAGACCTTTCCAGAAGAAGAAAACCCTATTTGGAGAGAAATCTCTCTCCTCCCACTATCTCCCACCGGAGAGAAATGTGAATCGGTCACTCTAAAGGGCCTAGAAAATCCCAGAAACCTAACCACTCCCTATACAAAACCTAGAGAAGTCCAACAATGCTTGAGTGCCCAAGATCGGACCAAAATTGAAGAGTCCAACTTGACTAGGACTCTTCCCAGCATTTCAGTTCTTCCTGATTTTGATGCCAAAACATAGATCACCCTTCTTATGACTAGAAAACACCAAAAAACTCCAGGAACTAGGCAATCTGAAGTAGATCGATCAGCCCTTTATCTCCTCATGCAATGGGCTGATCTAGGACTGCATGGAAGAACTCCAACAAACCGTAGCTGAGCTTTGATACCAAGTAGAAAACTGCTGAAATAAAAAACTGTAAAAGAAAAAGAATATTTCCTGGAGAAGAAGATAAGAGAGGAGAAAGAGAATATAAGAAATTTGAGAGATAAAAGAGAGCAATAATGCTAGCTGCCCTCTTCACTATTATTTATAGTCTAAAATAATAAAGAGTACAAAGACAAATATGCCCTTATAGGGCAACTAACACAAAAGAACAGCATAAAACACTTGAAAGAACTGCTCAAAAAGGACCCAACAAGAGTGTTGTGGTCCCCACTTCCTATCTAAACAACAAATAATCAAAAACTACCGCTGTAAACTGCATAAACTCTCTAAAACCTCAACACTCCCCCTCAAGTTGGGAGTAAATGTCACACATTCCCAACTTGCGTAGATTTTGTTCAAGCTTGTTCTTTGCAACCCCTTTGGTGAGGGCATCAGCCAACTGTAGTTCAGAGAAGACATAAGGCAAGTAGATTTCTCTAGTTGCACAATTCATGACCAACTGATATAATTCTCGTAAAACCCCAAAAGTGAAACAGATTTAAATAATTCAAGAAACAAAGTTTTCAAGGATACAAAGAATAAATGGCCAAGTCTAACATGCCAAGACTTAATTAAGGATTCTTTATTTAAAGAAAAAAACAAGACTAGAGTTGCTAGATCAACATTCTATAAGATGCTAATATAAATAATTTAAAAAATAGATTTCATTTGCTTTATGAATTCTATCAATTGTCTTCTTTGTATCAAAGCCCTAAAAAATACAATAATGATGGAAAATGTTACACAGTAGTTTAACTGTTTTATAAGATTACTCATACTAAAGAATTATTGGGCAGTCATCCCATTCATTAATATTTATCATATGAAATAAATGAAAAACATACCCTTAACATAAATAAAAAAATTGAAAGATACAGATACTAAATAACTCAACATGTATGATATCCTACCTATCATTCATCAACTACATAACCATGATCTCCTATTTATTACATGGCTAATGCAATGGACAAGCACATACAAACTGTTCTTAAGCCATTACTTAGATTTATTTATTTTTGATTGGTAATTACTTGGTTTTTTTCTCACTACTTGTTCATATTTATGATTTTCAGTGTTTTTGTATTTATTTTGAAATTATTTTCTTGCTTCTGATAAACTAGCAGATGTATTGAAGATCTAGGTCTTTATTCTAAATTAACCTTTGGATAGATATTGTCTAATTATTGCTCAATGATTAAAAGAAAAATGAAACAAATTTATTCCATAATTACTTGTCTCCTTCTATAAAGAAAGGAAAAAGGAATTATTTCATCTTTCATTTTGTTGCATTTTTTTCTTACAATTTCAGGGAAAAGGTTCTGATCTTGAATCTATAGCTTCTGGAATTATGGATGCTTCTTTTACTTGGAAGGTATTAACTATCATCCAATGTATCGTTTGATGGTGCTCATTTCTGATTTCATGGAATCATTGTTTTGGGATAATTTATTCAGATGGGGAAGGATTCAAGCCACATAGGAAAGAAAATTATCTGAATCATACCATCATAACCATCTAAGCCTTGTTTGAACTATATGGGATTGGATACATGAATTCTGTTCTACTATATCCAAGAATATCGTGTATAATCATCCACAAACAAGAGAAAGTAACGGAATCCTCCCATGGAAGGGATATGATATGGCCCCCATACATCAGTGTCAACAATATTAAAAGCAGTACTTCTTTTATTACTTGGTTTAAAAGACTGTCTACAATGCTTTCCTAATTGACAACTCTCACACTCCAAATTAGATAACTGAATAGACTTAAACAACTTTGGGAAAAGACATTTCAAAGAACTAAAAGAAAGATGTCCCAAGCGATTGTGCCAAAGCATAATCCGGTTCACCGACTCTGACCCACTACTATTGCTGCTGCTAACATGATGGCCTTGATGTCTTGGAATCTCATCTAAAAGGTAGACTTCATTCATCTCACGACCACTCCCAATAATCTTCTTTGACTCCAAATCCTGCAAAACACAATTACCAGGAAGAATGGTCATGGAACAATTCAAATTTTTTGTAAAAGAACTAACAGGCAATAGGTTGGTATGAAGTCTAGGAACATATAAAACAGAAGACAGAGTTATATCATTGGTCACTCTAACTGTCCCCTTCCCAGCAATGGGCATATGTGAACCATCTGCTGTAGAGACTCTATCTCTACCAAAGCACAACTGATAGGAACTGAAAAGGGTAGGGGCATTAGTCATGTGCTTAGATGCTCTTGAGTCTATAATCCAAGGAGGTCCCTGTTAGACAGTTTTGTATGCCCTTAGCTTCAATCAGAATGAT